CTACTATGTGCCAGGCACTGTGCTAAGTGCTTGATGAAGATAATTTCCTCTGGTCCTCACGATGACCCTGGGAGGCCGGGGCTCTGGTTACCCCCGTGTTTTGAGGCAGAGAGAGTTTAGTGACTTTGCCCAGCGTTGCACGGCTAGGCAGTATCTTAAGGCTGGATTTGAATTCAGGTCTTCTGACTCCAGGCCCAGCCCTCTCTGTGTGCTCCTCCAGCTACCTGAAGCACCACAGAAATGCCAGCTTGTGTTATTTTTATCATCTGTACAAACCCATACAAAGCCACGTCAACAGGGAGACACTTTAACCCTTGGGGTTGGGAGGGGGCCTCCCGAAGGAAGCCTGGGATCTCAAGAGGGAGGAGAGAGAAGGAAGAGCGAGCCAGACACAGGTCACTGTCTGAGCAAAGACAGAGTGGTGGGAAATGGGGGACGGCTAGCTGAGGGCCACTGGCTGAGGGGGCTACAGCCCCCAGCTCACTACGGCACAGGCCTGCCCTGCTGCGAGGAAAAGCACAGAAAGCCTCTGGCCTCAGTCCTGCCTCCGGGGCAGCCAAAACACTACAGCCCAATTTAGGTCTTCCTAAAAATGGACACAAGTCATCACAGATTTGGGCTTTTTAAGTGACTGAGAGACCAGAAGCAAAAATACCCAGAGCCCCCAGTGCTTGAGCAAAGCTCCACTTTCCTTCACCTCCCCAAACCACAGGTGCAGGGTCCTGGTATTTTGGATTCCTAGAGAGTGGTCTCTGGCCTTCAAGGATGTCGTGCAAAAGCAGACTGCGCATTCCTTCCACCAATTCTGATCACCCTCCCTCTGGGACTATCGCCGCGGCTAAAAACGCATCTCTGTGGGCCAACGTCACAAAGCTCGGCGGGGATCGGGTTGGGGAAGGTGGCCTCTGGGGCGCTGGGGCTGTGCAGGGGGGGTCCCTCAATCTGAGCTGTGTGCTCATGGCATGAAGGCTCCGTGTGAAGCAAGATGCCCCCGCGCACTCCGAGAGCTGAGGCCGGACTCAATCTGCTCCGCCGACATCTGCGACATTTCCACGCATACACAATTGGAATCTAACACGGTCACAGACTTGGAGCTGGAAGGAATCTCATCTGGCCCAATCGCCTCATTTTACAGATGTGGAAACTTAGGCAGAGAGAAGGGACGTGACGCCCTAGTTATTGACCGAGGCAGAATTTGAACTCAGGCCTCTGTGACTCCACCGCCTAAGATCACACAGTCAGCACATGCCGGCAGCAGGACTTACGCCCAAGTCTTCTTGTTTCAAGCCCAGCGTCCCACCCACTGCACCACCACACTGGATCCCACAGAGGTGAAGCAACTGGCCTGGAGTCACCCAGGTGGGATCATGGGGCCAGAAGGGTCCTTAGGGGTCATCCAGCCCAAATCCCTAATTTAACAAGTAAGGAAACTGAGGTACAGAGAAAGGAACAGCTAGTTTCCAATCCAGAATTCTTCCCACCACACTGTACTGCCTCCCGTCAGCCCGCGTACAGGCACAAAGATGGGGCTAGTCACATCACTCCCATTTTACACAGCAGACAATGCAGGCCAACAGGTTTGTCCCAGGGCCCACAGATATCAAGTGCCTAAGCCAGCACTCCAACACAGGGCTGGTGGGGGGCCACTGCCCTTCCCTACCATGCAGCTTGCTGGGCAGCTGAAGGTGACCAGGAACAGATTCAAGTGAGTTCAAACGAGGTGATTTCAGTGACTGGCAGCATGAACACGACATGGCTTTCAAGGCTGACCGTAGGATCATAGGCCTAGTGCGGGAAGGGGCCCCAAAGGCCAGCGATCCAAGCTGGCAGGACCAGGAGGGTAAAGCGTTTCGGCCGCGGTCACCCAGGCAGCGAGGAGTAGGGGAGGGACTGGAAGGTCAAGAGGTGGCTTTGGGAGCTGCTTCTGCTCACAGGTGAAGACAGCTCAGAAATTCAGGAGAGCACTAAGGCACGTGGTCTGTGCTAGGATGCAAAGCCGCCATGGCAAGAGCAAAAGCGAGCCCAGGCCCCTGGACGAGCTCTCCACAAGGCGTGGGAGGAACCGCTGCATCCAGATGCCCAGAGCAGCCAGCTGCCTGCCTCCCAGCACAGTCTTTGTTCCTCTCTTCTCCCGCCATCGATGAGGATCAGGATGAAATGGGCAAGCTCTGCCTTCCTCCCCGTCAGTCCTCAAGGGGGGGGGGGAAGCTTGGAGATCTGGGGCTGGCGAGAGACAACCATGAGAAGTAGCAAGAAGAGGAATGAGCTCACTGCTTCTTTAAAGCCAGGCTTCATAAACGCAAACCACCAGCAGTTTAAATATTGCAATATTGTGCAGACCCTAAGCGGCGAAATAATTTTTTCCATCCACAAAACTCTGAGAAAATTATAGTATCGAAAAAAAATAATGAAATGATGTATTTGGCAGATCCTCAGAGTGAGACATGTTTTTTATTGAAGCAGAGTTTGGAAACTGGTGGGTCACACTCAGGAGGTGACCTTCAAACAATGGGGCTCTTCCTGGAAATGTGCTGGAAGAAGAAAGGACAGTCAAATCCTGGGGCTGGTGTCCTCGGTGGCTTTGGAGGGGAATTAGGGACTCTGAGCTCGGTCTCCGGCAGGGCCCCCTTCTTGTGGCTCATTTACCCTCACCAAAAATAAAAGGCCCCCCGCTTTGTATCACTTAAGAACTCAATTTACCGGATTTGAAACCAACCAAGCTGTATCATTGAGGAGATGAGTCCACTCTCCAGCCAAGTACCGCTTACCCAGGAGGATAAGAGCCGAGGTCATTTACTGCTTCGGTCCTGGGTCAAAGGTGAGCCCAGGTATTTTCATCCCCTCCTCTATCCTACTGACACACCCAAGACCACACAGAAGACAATGTGAAATTAAAGGGTTACCGAGTCACTGTTCTGTTGCTAAGTCCTAGACTTCTCAGACAACACAAAACCCCTCAGGCACGTCACACACAACATACACACACAGAATGTCAGAGCAAGAAGGGTCACGTGGAATAATACTCTCATTTTACAGACGAGAAAACTGAGGCCCAGAAAATTCAGAAGAGATGTTTTCCAAACTTCCAGGGAAGGTGGGTTGATCCTTCACTACCATTTTTTGACCAGTCAGGGATACTGGGACATCTTCAGCTGTCTTTATAACCACAGCACCTAGCTCTGAGAGCCCTCAGTCAATGCTTGGTGAGTGGCTGATCATTCTATGGGATGCCAAAGCAATTTCCCTTCTAAGAGGTTTGGAGCTAATGAGAATCTCACAGCATTCTAGATGGACTTAGGAAAAACATCCTGAGCACTGCCCTGCTTTCTCTTGCTTTGAAATCCCTACTTTTCAAATATCCTAGATCAGTATTCAAATTGAGGAATGAAGACTTCAGTTCTCCCCTTCTGAAGGGCTTCCAATAAACTTTTTTCCCCATCCCTTTAAAGTGCTCAAAGGTGAGTGTCTAACGTCTAAATAATTCGTGAATAAACGCAAAACAGCCCCATTTTCCACCCGCACCTCTGGTCCTTTCACCCCATAAATGATTTTGCTGGAAGGAAGACTATCTAAGTCTCCCTTTCACCTCTGGGTGCCCCACCTCAGAGCAGATTTTGCCTCTGTCTGAGGACAGACACAGGGCTGGTTCCCTTTACCCTAATTACAGTGAAGTCCCAATGGAGCAGGTCCTACTCTATCTTGGGAAAGTGACAGTCAGAGCTCAATACTGCACATCTGTCCATTAGGCTATAAAGCCCCCAGCCGAGGACCCCTCCTGTCCCCCAGCCACAGGCTGCCTGGCACCTCACGTTGGACAGCTGCCCAGCACCCCCTCCCCAGCAGTCTGCCTTTGGGGGGGAGCCGAAAGAGTTAAGGGGGCTTTAGGCTATGACGCTTAGGAGGCTGCCACTCATATTTCTGGACATCACACTTTATCTGCTGGCAAAACGAGGTGTGTTCTCTGACAAAAAGCACCACACAAGAGGAATCTGGCTTCCTCTGAAGGAATAAAGTTACATAAAGGCCAGTGTACCCAGCTGGGAAGGGCTCCAGGAGGTGAAAGAAGGCCAGCGGGGTGCCCTGCAGGGCCTCACAGGGCTGCCCTTACCACTTCTGCTGGGACCCCAGCATTCCGGACAGTCTGACCTGCATCTCTTGCTCAGATCTGCTCCAGCAACCTCAGCTCCAGACAGTGGAGACTGCTCAACACAGCCTCACAGTCCTCTGCTTTCTCCCTGGTCTCAAGGGCTGCAGTCAGAGCTCTCAGGGGCAGAGCCATCCAGGGACCCAGGACAGGGTCCCCAAGAAGCCCCCCACCTCAGCCCACCCCCAGAGGAAGGAAGAAAGAACACTGGCTTTGGTCATAGGGTCACAGATCTCATAGAGGGCAAGCCCTCCCGGGGCTCCCTAGTCCAACCTCTCATTCCACAGCTGAAGATGAGGAAACCGAGGCTCAGAACAGCGGGGTGCCTTGCCCAGTACCCGACACATCTACATGTAGATATGGTATCTGTGTGTACGTATGTGTATATATACAAACACTATGTACATCCACACACATATCTGTCTACAGACTTTATACAAAACCTCTACATGCATAGACACATATTAATAACCCCCCCACCACAAATGCTTGCTGACCGATCCCATGCCCAAGGTCAGTCCTGCAGTCGGTCACTACGGGGCAGGGGCAGGCTCCGGACCCAGGTCCTCGGAACCCAGATGCGGGGCTTCTCCCTCGCTCCAGTCAAACTCTCAGGAGCCCCCAGCTCTCCTTCTGGCACCCCGCTTTCCTTCTCTGGACCTCAGTTTCCCCACCTGTAAAAAAGCCGTGCCAGCCGGCCCGGGGCCCCAGGAACCCCGCCCTCCCGCACCCGGACCCCCCCTCTCCGGGGTCCAGCGGGGAGCCTCAGCTTCCTCCGGGGTAAAGAGGGCAGGGGTCCGCACGGCCCCGGTCCGAGCTGGAGCTCGTGGGCGCGGGGCGCTGCGCGGTCACTCACCTGGCGCCGGTCCGGGTCCGGGTCCGGGTCCGGGTCCGGGTCCGGGTCCGAGGCCGGGTCCGGGGCGGGCGGCCAGCGCCAGCGCGGCAGAGAGCAGGGCGAGGCGGGCGGCGGGTGGCGCCATGGGCCGGTCAGTGCGGGGCCCCGGGGCGCGGCCCAGGGGAGCAGGGGGAGCGCGGGGAGCCGGGGCCGGCCATGGGAGCGGGACTCGGGGCCCCAACAGTCTGCCCGGCCCGGCCCCGCCCCGCCCGCAGGCCCCGCCCCTCAGGCCCCGCCTCCCACGTGCGGCCCGCCCCCTCCCGCCCCACCTCCGCCCCTCCCCAAGCATGCGCCTCGCCTCCGGCTGGGCCACGCCCCCTTACGTGGGCACGCCTCATGCCCCTGCTCAGCGTAGAAGGAGGGGCCGCTCAGTCCCTCCACCACGGCCCCGCCCAACTTTTGGAAGGCCCCAAGCATGCGCCTCATCTCCTACGAGGCCACGCCCCCTCCTTGTGACCCGCCTGAGCAACTTGCTCAGGCCCTTCATTATGGTTCCGCCCCCAGATCGCCCCGCCCATTTTCAGAGGCCCCGCCTCCTCCCGACCCAAGCAGGCCTCACCCCCCCTCGACCACGCCCCCTCCCCGCCGGGTCGGAGAAGCTCAGTCATAGCGTCACAACCCCGCCTCCGCGCCCAGGGGAGTCGCCCACTAGTATACTCACCCACTTATCCAGGGAGGAGCCGCCTCTGCCTCTGGAGTGGAGCATGCGCACTAAGGCACCACAACCTCGCCTTCAGCAAGCCCCGCCCCTTTCCCCTGAAGGACCCTGCCGGGAGGGCACCTAGACTCCGCCCCTTAGGGGGCGAGTACCTTCGGTAACCACTCCTGTCATTCGCTCATTTAAGCTCGGAAGGAGGTGCTGGCTCTCGGCCCCGCCCATCCTAAGGATGCGTGCTCGCAATTGGTCCGGCCAAGGAGGAGGGGCGGGACAAGTAAGTGATGGGGATGTAGGAGGTGGAGATGCCTGGAAGGGAAGGATGGGTAAGCAGAAGCCACCTGGAGAGGAGCAGAGTTGGGGGGAAGACTGCCCTCCCTTCACCCCCCTCCACTGGGCCCAGGAGCCCCGTATTAGTGCATCTATTAAGGTTTATCATATGTGTTAGGCACTGTACAGAGGTGAAACAAGCCTGACTGGCCCTCGAGGAGACAAATAAATGAGTGGATGAATGAATGAACAGTTAATAAATAGATCAATAAGTGAGCAAACGAATGATCAAATAATAACTAGCATCGATCCAGCGCTTTAAGATCTGCAAAGTGCCCGGGGTCACATAGCTAGTAAATGTCTTTGCCTGGATGTGAACACAGTTCTTCCTGACTCTATCCACTACGCCATATCGCTTACATTCTCATGGGGGAAATGACATCTATAGCCAACTACGAGAATATGCAAAATCATTACGAGGTGGTTATGGGAGGGAAAGCACTTAGAGGCTATCAGGTATTATCTACACATTTTTCAGGCTGGGAAACTGAGGCCAGAGAGGTGAAAACATCGACTAGGAACCCACTGAAACTAAGGGGTCTCGAAAATAACTCTGTCTAGTCCAGCCCAAGTAGAACTCCCCTCTTAACTGAAATCTGGGGGTCAGCCCGATGCGGCTCGGACATCTCCAAGGACTAGGCGCTCACTACTTAGCCAGGCAGTCGGTGCCATTTTCGGACAGTTCTGTCAAATTGTGTATTCCTTTATCACCTTTATATCCTTTATCACAAGCATTTATTAAGCACTTACTGTGCACGGGGCGGGCACTCTGCTAAAACCTGGGATACAAACACAAGAAGAAAGACAGTCCCTGCCCTTAAAGAACTTACATTCTAATGGAGGACAAAGGCAGGTAAAAGGAAGAGGAAAGGGGGAGCTTCTCTTACGTCGCGGCTCAGTCCTGCTGCCACCTCGTCAGGAATGTCCTCGCTGATTCCCCATACACATCTGCAAAGTGTTCCCTCCCTCCTCCCTGCTTTGCCTAAAGCAGTTGGTTGGTTGGTTGGGACCTCTCCTTTGCTACCGCCACTCCCCACCTAGCAATCTACGTATCTGCTTATGTGTAGTGTAGACATACATCCCCACTGGTCCGGTGGCGGATCTCGTACCTGAACGTTTGCAAAGCGATTCCAACCCCCTCAGTGGAAAGGAGATGGAAAAACTGAGGTGAACTTACTCGCATCTGGTCAGACGACAGGTAATTCCCAGGGGCTGGATTTCAACTCAGAGCCCTCCCGTCTCAGCCCACCGAAAAAAACGAATGTAAACACCTGGAGGGTAGGAATCATTTCATTCTTTGTACTTGTGTTCCCAGCAAATGAGAGCACAGTTGTGAAGCACTTAGCACGGTGCCTGGCACTTAGTAGATACTATATAAAAGCTTATTCCCTTCTCTTCTCCCTTTCCCAGCACCTAATACAGAGCCTGGCACACAGTAGGTGCTTATAGATCAATGAGCATTTATTAAGCTCCGATTACGTGCCAGGCTCTGTGCTAAGCCCTATGTGCTAAGAAAGGCACAAATCGCCCCTGTGCTCAGGGAGATTCCTCTCTAACAGGGGCAGGGTAACTACCTGTGCCCCTTCAATAGACAAGCTCTAGAAATAGAATGGAAAAACAAACAAACAGAAATAGAATGGAAGCTCTTCGAAGGCTGATCCTGGTAGGTAGGTTGCGTGTGTGTCTGTGTGTGTGTGTGTGTCTGTGTCTGTATCTGTGTGTGTGTTGGTGCGTTTATGTTTAGCCGAAGTGGGCTTTTTTCTTTTAAACTGAAGCCACCCTGTCTCCCCCCTCCCCCCAACCTGGTCTTGGGCACCGTCTCGCCTGCGGGCCAAGCAGACTGAGTCTAAACAAAACTCAGGACCAAAGCCCTGGGCAACCCTGGTGCCCGCCCATCCCAGCAGGCAGGGACACCCAAGCACACCCAACATCTCACCCGCAGCAGACGGGGGATTTTCCTTTGGGTCTGACTAAAACCCCTTGTAATTAGGAGCTAGCCCGACAGGTTCAAGCTAGGACAGCCCGCGGGGCCAAGGGACCTGCGCAGGCTTCTTTTTAGTGCTTCTGCTCAGGGAGTCTGCCTGGCATGTGGCAACCTGCGCTGCCTGGCACTGGTGCCACGCTCTGGCCGCGTGTGCTGGCTTGCAGAGGCTGCTGCCGCCACCCGGCCCCCTGCCTGCTCTCAAGCCCCAGGACTCCGGACGGGGCGCCCCTCAGCTCCCCAAAGCCCTGGCCCTGATTGGCTGGGGTCTCTGTGCTTGGCTTTCTCCCACCTCCTATCTCCTCCGCTATTTCCTCCGCCTTCATGCTCAGATTCCCAGCACACCCAGCGACCTCCAAGGTGGTGCGGTCCCTTCCACACCTGGGCAAGGAGCCCCGTTACCCCTCCCCCATCCCAAGTGGGCATCCAGCCTTTCCGCTTGAAAAGGGAAGCTCACTGCATCCTGAGATATCCCACCCCACTTCGGGGAACCTCAAATCATTAGGAACTTTCTGCAGACATCAAGCCTAAATTTGCTTCTTAGGATCTATCTTAGAGATTTAGAGCTAGAAGGGACTTTTGAGGTCATCTTGTCCAACACCATCATTTTACAGGTGAGGAAACTGAGGCCCAGTGATTTGCCTAAGGTCACAGGGACTGAGTGGCGGAGGGTAGGTTCTGAACTGAGTCCCAAACCCATCATTGCTGCCCCTCTGCCTAGAAGAATGTAAATTCCTTGAGGGTAAGGAGGTTGTTTTTTTGTTGTTTTTTTTTTAAATTTCTGTCTTTATATTACAGGTCCTAGCCCAGAGTGGGCACGTAATGGTCTTTGAGCTGAACCTTGGGGCCAAGCAGAACGTTTCTTCTCTCTGAGCACATTCCCACCGCCACAGCTTTCCGCTCTTGACTTTCCTCCATCTCTCTTCCCCTTCCTCCGTCTCAGGCTACCCTAGAACCCATAGGAAATGGCCAGGCTTTGCTGTTAGCTAGGGTACCGCCGTCTCTCACCTTCCCTCTCGGCCCCTTTCCCATCTACCCAAATGAGATCGGCCCAAAGAAGGGTAGTGACTAGTTGCCACCACTAGGGGCACCCTTGCTGTTTGCTCACATGGCTTAGATGAGGTGGAGGTCAACAACTCAATTCCTTCAGGTGACATGGAAGACCTCTTTATGCAGCACTGCCATCTGGTCTACTGATGCAGCTAAGGACTTGCCATCCACCCGATGGCTGCTCCCTTAGGATTTCTGAACCTTTTCATCTCCCTGCAGCTAAACTGTCTTCTACGTGTGGTCTCCAATTCTAGGGGGCTGGTAGGTGGTGCAGTCGACAGAGTGATGGGTCTGCAGTCAGGAGGACCTGAGTTCAAATCCAGCTTCAGACACCTACTTAGCTGGGTGACCCTGGGCAAGTCACTTCACCCTGTTGGCCTCAGTTTCCTCATCTGTAAAATGATCTGGAGAAGGAACAGCAAAGCACTCCAGTATCTTTGCCAAGAAAACCACAAATGGGATCACAAAGAGTCAGACACGACTGAAACACCCGAACAACTCCAATTCTAGAGAGCAAGAACTGGCTTGATTTTACTGTTTGCACCCCCAGCCCTTAGCACACCATATGTGTGCTTAGCACACATAGCCTTTCATCCAGGAGACAGCCCTGTAGTCCTTGAAACACTTGAAGACAGCTCTCTTGCTGCTCCATCTCCATCCTGAGCTCTCCTCCCCTCCCCAACTCTCCCCTCCCCCCCCCCCCCCTCCCCCCCCTCCTTCTCCCCTCCCCCCCCTTCCCTCCCCTCTCCTCCTCTCCCTCTCTTCTCCTCTTCTCCCCTCTCCTACTTTACTTTTCCCTCTCTCCTCTCCTTTCCCCTTCTCTCCTCTCCTCCTCTGTCCTTCTCTCCTCCTCTGCCCTCCCTTCCCTTCCTGTCTCTCTCTTCTTCTTTCCACTTCTCCTCTCTCCTCCTCTGTCCTTTTCTCTCCTCCTCTCCCCTCCCCTCCCCTTTCCTCTCCTCTTCTCGGTCTCCAGGCTAAACATCCCCTTTTCCTTCATCCAATCTTATATCCTCCCTTTCCTCCTCCTTCCCAAACTGCTTGCCCGATTTGAGCACCCTCACTTTAAGTC